TCAATGTAAATAAGATCAGACCAAGTCATGTTATGAGAACTAGCAGGAATATAAAAGAAATGTACATGTTCAAGGAATATAACATGCAGAGACATAATTGACTAATTGGATCAAAACAACGATATGCCTTTTGCCCTGCGCCATAACCCAGAGAGACATAAAGAGCAGATTTAGATGATAATTTACTACGAAACATGTAGAACCAAAGCCACGTAAGGAAGAATAATCTAGAGCATATCCATACTACTTCTCAAAAGGAGATAAACCTAATTTATGTGATGTTGTGACCCTATTAATCAAATGAGTAGCAGTAAGTATTGCCTCTTCCCAAAATTCACTGGAGTGGATGCAGAGAGTAAAAGAGAACGAGCCGTCTCAACAAGATGTCTATGTTTTCTTTCAGCAACACCATTTTGTTCAGGAGTGCTTGTACAAGTAATTTGGTGAATAATGCCATCAAAAGCAAGCAAATTTGAAAAGGCATTAGAGGTATACTCTCCACCCAAATCACATCGAAAATATTTGATAATAGCAGAATGTTGAGTTTTCACAATTGCTTTAAATTTACTGAAAATATTAAAGAAGTCAGAGCGACATTTCATAAGAAAGATCCAACAGTAACGAGTGTAATCATCAATAAATGAAACATAATATCTTGAACCCCTTTAGTGGTAATGGGAGAAGGTCTTCATATATCAGAGTGAACGAGATCAAAAGGAGCAACAGAAACAAAGGTATTTTTATTAAAAGGCAATGCAAGAAATTTTGCTAATACACATCCACTACAATTAGAAATGTCATCTATTTTCAAATGACCTAATGCCCAGTAGAAACTAAGAATTTTAAACGAGATACTAAAACATGACCAAGATGAGAATGCCATAAATAAAAGGTAGAAAATAAATGATTCAAACGGAAATATGACAAATCAACACTAGAAGCTGCAATTTCTAGTACTTCAAGCATATCCAAAACATAAAGTCTCCCCTGCCTATTGCCGGTCCCAATCACCTTATGAGATTGTGTGTCCTACACATGAAGAAAAATATACTAAATATCCAAATTCACATAATTCGCTAACAAAAACAAGATTTAGAGTAAGACTATGAACGTGATAGACATCATTGAGAGATAAACAATATGTATGAATAGAACCAACGCCTACTATAGGCATAGAAGTACCATCAGTGGTTACAATTGACACAGGAGACTTGGGAGATAATGAAACAAAGAAGTCTAAATTAGGTGAGATATGATAGGAAGCCTCCGAATCTAAGACCCACAAAGAAGATGATATACTTGAAAAACTAGAAGACGACAAACCTATATGAGAGGCAGACAATGCATGTGGCAGTGTTGCATCTGACCGTGTTGCTAGAGAGTTTTGAAACTGCTCAAACGTGGATGGTCCTACAAAGAATGACGAGACGTGATTAATTCCAAAATTATTCTTGGCTTATGTGCGTGTCTGTTTTTCTCGAACGGCAAGCAGTCCCCTCTTTTTTTCTTTCTTTCTTTTTTCCTTTTTTTTTTTTTTTCGGTCTCCAAGTGGCTACCAATGCATAATTTTATACTCCTCCACAGCAGCTGCAATGCTTTGATTATGCAGTTTTCAGCCCTTTTTAATGTGGATATAAAATCAGATATCCCCAGCAGCCAACTTCTATGTTACTCTCAATGAAACTTCTAAAGCCAACTCATCTGAACCTGTTTTCTTCAACAAGATCAACAATTTCAAGATGACGGCTTGATACCATGATAAATTAATAATGCAAAAAGATAGAGAGAATTACTATATTAATTGAACTTGTTGAAAATACAAGAAAATGGAAACTTTAAATAGTCTTACAAGTAGACAAATAAAATGACTAATCTACCCTTAATATAAAATTAATTTATCTAACAAAAACAACAGTGAGTTCCATATAATCAGAATATATGCGAGAAAATAAATACTACATTAGCTAAACATGAAAACAACATTGAGCTTATAAGGAGATTGAGTTACCACTTAATAAGTTAACTTTTTAGAAGGAAATTGTGATAAAATATAATTCTTGGAGTAGGGTTTGCCTATGTCCAATAAACTCTTCGCTACAGCCTTTAACTCAAAATCAGCATATGAACCAACTGACCTAAAGGACACCTCAAGGTTGATGACCAGTTAGCGGTCACTGACTCACTCACGATTTGTACATCGAAAGGAAAATTATTGGATATGAAACATTTAATAATTGTCTTGTAACCACTATGGATGGCATATTTTATTAATAATGAAAATAACCCGTGGTACAGAGTTAGGAGGGGGCTCGAACGGGCTTCTAGCTAGATGTGCACTAATAGTAAATTTATTAATTTATCATGTTTGGAGTTGTGTGGTACAATGTAAAAGTTATGAAACTACATTCTTCCTAATCATACTCATCGTCATGTTTCTTCTTGATCACTTTTGTACTCGCTCTCAACTTATAATCGATTCGTACTTGTTGTTTGAAATAGATTGTGTAAATTTTTTACAGTTTCATGTATTGTGTATGTTACGCCTCGATTATTCGCGCCTCGATACCGAAGTGCCATCTCACCACCGAGGCCGA